ATTTGTCCCTTTGTGACTGAGATATTTCACTCAGCATAATGTCCTCCAGGGTCACCCATTTTGAATAATATTGCATGAGTTCCTTGTTTTTCAAAGCAGCGTAGTAGTCCATTGTGTGAATATACCACAGCTTCTCTGTGCATTCGTTTGTTGATGAGCACTTAGGTTGTTTCCAACTCCTTGCTATTGTGAACAAAGCCGCAATAAATATGGGTGTGCAAACATATGCTTGGATGTCATTTATGGTCTCTTTAGGGTATATCCCCAGTAGTGGAATTGCTGGGTCAAATGGTATCTCTATTTGCAACTTTTTGAGAAAGCGCCAGACCGCTTTCCACAGTGGTTGCACCATTTTACACTCCCACCAACAGTGAATAAGGGTTCCACTTTCTCCACAACCTCGCCAGCATTTGTTGCTAGCTGTTCTGTTAAATTTTGCTATTCTTACTGAGGTGAGATGATGCCAGTACCATACTATCTTAACTACCACAGCAGTGTAGTAGGATTTGAAATGAGGGAGTGAGATGCCTCCTACCTTTTTTCTGTTTTAAAGGAGTGTTTTGCTTATTCAGGGCTTCTTTCCATTCCAAATGAAGCTGGAGATTGCCTTTTCCATCTCGTTGAAGAATGGGATTGGTATTTGTATTGGGATTGCATTGAACATGTATATTGCCTTTGGTACCATTGCTATTTTGACAACGTTGTAGACTCACTGACTTTTAACAGAGCATTTCTTAACTGGAATGCAACACATACCATGCACACATGCACTCTTGCACACATGCCTCTAAGCAAATGCAAACACAGCACTCATATGCACACACACACACACACACACACACACACACACACACACACACCATGCAGGAATGAATATTAGCCACAAACAGTTAGGATTTACCTCCTGGTAGCCCTTTCCCATCTCTCTCACTATCTACTTGAATCAAAGTGTGTTCACATACTTATTTCCTTCAGAAATAAGTTCGTGACTGGAAAGAAACTTAAGACCCATATGTGGCTGACTAAAGAGCTTCTCATCCACCAGTACCCCTCGCCCTGGACCCCCAAGCCTGGCTCTGATTTCAGCTTCCCTGGAGTACAGGAAGGTCTGGTGCATAGTCTGTCAGGAGGTGTGCTGCTCACCCAAACGTAGCACCTTTCTGGCAGTTCATATCCACCAGGGGCTCTGTGAGAAAAAGATGGGTGTCTCTTCCCATCTTTTAGCTTCCAAAAACCAGGTGGAAGTTCTGCCTCAGAGACAATGAGAGAGCATATGTCCCACCCTTTCATTCCTGCTTGAATGGAACGATGTCTGTGCCTCTAAGTCTGTTGGTCTTTGGAAGCAGCGTCAGAGATGAGAGCTGAGGTGATTGGATTCAAAGACTCTGAGACCCCACAAGGGGTCTTTACCATGTGTGGCGTTATTCATCCTCCAGCTTGCAAAGATACAAGAGACGTATATTACAGTGGGTTTCAGCTTATCAAAACTGGGTAAAAAAGCTCATACTTTCAGAACCTAAATAAAAAGAGAAATTAATGAGCTGTTCTTGCTGTGTGTCTGTAAAATAAGAACAAATATATGCTTTGTAATGCTCAATAAGACAATAAAGGAAATAATCTAATTCCTATGAAAATCTTTCACATAGCCCATAATATGCATCTTTACCAATGCTGAGGGACACTCCACTTCTAAAATAGAGACCTGGAATGTATGTTTCAGCTTCCAGCTTATGAGGAGAATTGAATAAATGAACACGTTTTTAAAAAACTTTATATTGACAATAATAATAAGAACTGCAAATCTTTCTGTTGTGGCAGACACTGTGCACTCTCTTACATTTGATCACAGCAGCAGCCTGCCAGAATGACGTATTGTCCTCTACAATGGACCAGGAGAGCAAGGCTTTTGCAGAGTTTGCCTCTAAGCCCTCAGTCAGCATGCATTGGAGTTGGGGTTCAGGCGCAGATCTACCTGACTCCAAGAATGACTCAAACATTCCTCCAGGAAACAATCTAGTGAAGAACAGCCGAAGGCATTGCAAGATATTACTGGGCATTGCATTGGACAATTTCCAAAAATCAGATCACTACAAATCACTCAGGAGCTCTGGTGGCCTAGTTGCAAGAAGCTGTGCTGCAATCCCCAAAGCACATGGTTCAAAGCCACCAGGTGCTCAAGGGGAGAAGAATGGGTCATCACCTACATGCGATTAACTACCTCTGCCAACCCACTAGAGGTTCAGCTCGGGGTCGGTTCTGACTCTGGTGAACAACAACAACAACAACAACAACCATCATTCAATTCTTAAAGACACAATTCAATTCTGGTACACAACAACAACAACCATTATTCAATTCTTAAAGACACAAAGGAAAGCCTTTAACTACCTCTGTCAACCCACTAGAGGTTCAGCTCGGGGTCAGTTCTGACTCTGGCACACCACCATCACAACAACAACAACAACCATCATTCAATTCTTAAAGACACAATTCAATTCTGGTACACAACAACAACAACAACAACAACAACAACCACCACCATCATTCAATTCTTAAAGACACAAAGGAAAGCCTTAACAAAGGGCTCTGTCTCACTGTCTCTGGTCTCATCAAATAAGCAGCATCTGAATCCATACCCCTCCCTTGTCCAGTTTCCCCTGCCCACCAATGCGCAGTTGGCCCCGTCAGTGCTGGCTTGTACCTGTTGCTCCTCCTCTTTGCATTTTCTCATTTCCTCCAACAGTTTTTTCTTTTTCTTCCTCTGCCACGTATAGGAAGATGCTGATGGCTCCAGCTACCACAAGTCCCCGTGGCATGAGCATCAGAGGCAGGGCTATTCTCCACGGTGAGGGCTTGAACCTTCTGGAGAAAGTGGCTAAAGGAATATTAGAGTGAGACTAAAAAATTAATGTGTAACAGACCACAGTGTTTGCAAACTGCTCTGTAATGCTAATAAAAGGGGGAAAAATGCATTTCTATAAATAGCTATAGGCAGACATGTTGTTAGTTACCATGGAGCTGCTTCTGACCCCATGTGAGCCCACGTGTGCTGAGTAGAAGTACTCCAAAGGGTCTTTAAGGTCCCAGACCTGTCTTCCAAGGTGCTTTTGGGTGAGTTCAAACCCCTAAGCTTTCCACTAGTAACTTGACAGTTTGTGATGCAGGGACTGTGAGATCGGTCCACAGATGGACACTCCACTGCAGCCAAGGCAGGTCTGACCCTAGGACCTTCCACTGGCTTTTCCCAGGTTGCAAATCTTCGTTCAGGATATTTTCCCTATTCCTTGGAGATGCTGATGGATCTGAACTGCTAATCTTTTGGTTAGTAGTTACGTACATGAAAAATTAAACTGTCATATCTTTTAGTAGACAATTAGGAAATATAAATGATAAATGTGAAAAATTGTTAAAGATCATTTATTCTGGGTAAAGTTTGCAAAATTTTTGGGCAACATTTTTAGAAATTTAAAATGAGTTAAAAATAAGAACTGAAAATTAATATTGGCATGAAACCTTCTTGTTCCCTGAGGAGACACTTCTCTCCTGGCAACCCCTTTCATGTCAGTCATAACCACCTGAAATCTACATTTCTCCAGGACTCAAATCAGGTCTCCCTTCTCTCTCTTGCTGTATGTGCAGTGTTGATCAGGGGATCCTGTTGCTCAGGGCCAAGACTGCGTTTCCTCAAGTTTTTCCAAATGAAGAAAACAACAGTATGAAGCACTAACCTGCTAGATAACACTTGGCTACCTTCTTCTCGAGGAGGACGGGATTAGCAATGGAGCACGAGAGGCCTTTCATCATCTTTTTATTGACTACTACTTTGGAGACCACAGAAAAGAGTCCACTTGTAGCTGACACAGACACATTGGTTACAGAAGGGATTATTTGTCCTTCAAAATCTCTCCATTCCACCTGGGGCTCCGGGAACCAGCCAGCTGATGTGCACTCGGCCCGGACCCCTTCTTCCTTGTCGTATCTCAATCTGATTACTGGCTGTAAACCCAGTCCTAAAGAAGGAGATACAGGCTCGAATCTTTCCTGCCACTGCTACTTCCTCGGAAAAAAGATAAAACAATCCAAACCAAAACACTTCAGCAATTTCTTACAGTTTATAGGAACAACTCTGACAGGAAGCTGCACTTAAATCCTGAAGGCACATAATTTGGGGCAGCAGTTGTTCTTGGGAGAAGGATGGGCAATCTCCTTCTGTGTGATTAAGTGCCTCGGAAAAGTCACTGAGGGTCAGCAATAGGTCAGTTCTGATGCAATGGTACATAACAACAACAAATTTATTACTTCCATTTAACAGATAAAAGAAAAATATTTAGGAAAATATTAAGGTAAATTTTTTCATCACAGGGTTAGTAATTATGGGAGGAATGAAAATAAAGTTTGCTTAATTTTAAAGTACAAAACATGAAGAAAAGCATCACATAACTATAAGAACTTCTCTCTCTAATTGTCTCTTCCTTCCTCTATCCCTTACTACTCTCTTAAGTGTTACAATGAAGGGGAGAAAATTAGAAAACATAACTGTGCATTGAAAACTCCATTTATTGATAGCATTTTATAATTGTTTTCTTTTATAAGACAAAATGTGTGTGAGTTGTTGAATGAAAACAAAAAATTAAGAAAATGAAGTTTCACAAGACCACTGTACTTTTGAAAAAAAGGAATTTGTGAAACAACCCAAGTATCTGTAAACAAACGAATGGATAGATAAGCTCTGGTATACTAACACAATGGAATACTGTGCAGCATGAAAAACAAGGAACTCATGAAACATTATGAAAAATGGATGACCTTGGTGGACGTTATTCTGAGTGAAATATCTCCATCCCAAAAGGACAAATATTGGATAGGGCCATTGTTATAAAACGGGTCTGACATCAGGGTTGAGGAAAGATCGAAAAGGAGGGGAGGAATGATGCATATTTCATTGAAACAGATGAGGAGAGAACAGTTTAAAAGGGTCATATGAATTGGTATTCTTGTCATTACATAAGGCTTAAGTGAAGGCTGCATAGTGGCTTGTGTTTTGCGGGGTGGCTCGTTTTGCATTGCGTTTTTTTTTTTCCTTGTTTTTGTGTGTTGGATGGTGTTTTGTTTTGTGAGTATAGTGCTGCTTTTCTTTCCTTTCATTTGTTAGTGTGTATCCGGTTTGTAATTTTTTTTTTTTTTTTTTTTTTAGAGTTTGTTTCTTGGCATGTTTTGTTGTGAACACTACTGCTTGTTGGACGTTTTTTTTATCATCATGATTATTTTGTCTATTTTATTTTGGCCTTGATTTTTGGGCTTGAACTTTGTCAGAGAAATTTACCCTTTGGCTCACTCAGAATCAAGATGACCAGGCAAGCAAACCCCTTCCCTGCAACCTTCATCCATAGTGCAGCTTCCCCATAATTGCTGCCATCTTTGAAATGGCAGTGATATGTCCCCTTCTTAAACATGGGGACGTTGTGTATCCTCACTGCAGCTTTGTTCTTGGTGATGTGGTCTTTTACAAGTGTTGTTCTTCCCCAATACTCTTCCATTTGTTCTTCATATACATCCTTCCCTTTTTGGTGCAAATGCACAGCTGGGGAGGAATGGTCCCTGTACCCTCTCAACTCCATGTTCTCAGCACTGACATTAGGAATCAGGTAGCATGGTAACTCTACGTCTTTCCCCAATATAGGCAGAAGAGGACCATCAGGTCCAATGACATTGAAGTGGGCATTTCCTTAAAGAGACAAATGGAACAGGACTGGGTTTAGCCATCTGTGAGGAGATGGAGTTCTCCCTCTCAAACCCACATTTATCTTTGGGAATGAAAGTAGTCTTTCTTTTGGCATATCTCCTAAGTCCTCCTAGCTTTGGAAAGGGAATATTCTCTTACCATTGCCAGGGCTGACAGGGAGTAGCAGATGTAGGAAGAGGAGGATGATGAAGCAGTTATGGAGACAGGCATCTTGAAAGTGCATCTTTCTCATCACTGCTTGGAGACACAAAGACACACAAGCCAGAGGATTCACATTTATGGGAGAGAAGGGACAGAAAATGAACAGAGGACAAGGGAAAAAGACCTCTGAAAAGAAACTTTTTTTTTTCTTCACCTGCACTGGGTTTAGAAAAGTTACTATGGCTATTTGCATCTGAGGAGGTTACTTAACTCAAGCTTATGTCTTCCCAATCTCCCTTTATTGTTAACTCAGAAGGGTGGATAGTTTCTGAATGGAGTTCGGTGGAAAAGAGGTATAGGGAATTGCTGAATGGTCTTCTTAGAGCTCGAATATTATGTATACATTTCATTCCCAGTCTCTAACAAGTCATTTATTCTATAAACAGACTTTGACTTTCCCTACTCCTGTGTTACACAGATAAATATTCCTTATAACTCAAATCCCAGAGCAGTTTACAAAGGTTCACAAAGGTTTCCTTGGATGTGAAAGGGTTTCCTTTTCTTACTACTTATGAAAGATTTTTCTCATCTACAACTTTTTACTGTAGTGAAACATAAAAACAATGGTTAGGAAACTAACACTGTAATTAAATAACTTCAAGACCAAGTATATATTTGCTGAACCATTGAAAACATCTAATTCTTATTGCCTCCAACAGGGCTTGTGCAGTTGGGAGACAGAACCTGATTGCCTTCCCTACGGTTCCTTGTAGGTATGGTCATTATATAAGTTATATTATCAATTATGAGCTCTTTTCATAAGATCAATGCTCTTAATAATTTCTGCTGGCCTAAGTGAAGAGTTGGAGTTGATTTAAGGGCGATAGATCTTAAGGTGGTTCTATCCAGCACTACTCTAAGTTGTAGCATTTACATAAATTAGTAAGGAATTATACTCATAAATATATTTGTACTGTTCAGATCAGATTATTCAGTTCTTTTTCACTGGGTGTTAGCCCATAGTGTCTTCCTGGTACTTGAGGACAAGTTGAGTGTGGAAAAGCCAAGACAAAGATGAATGCCCTTCAAATAAATAGTACTCACCCAAGCTGGATCCAGATGCACCCATTCCGTGGGAATTGTGATGATTCTGAGTGACTCAGTTTAGTTTTTGCAAACTCCAGAGGGGACATAAGGCAAGAGAATCACTGTGTCTCCAGTAGAGTTTAGAAACCTGGTATAAGGAGCCAAGTGTCCCAATTTCTATAGACTCTTTCTGTTACATTTTGCTGAAATAGCCAACTAGGTCTCCTTAATAGTGGCAAAGGGAAAAACTAAAGAGCTTTCTAAAAAATGTCAGCAGTGTTGCATATTTTAAGCCTTAAAATGTCACACCCTGGGAGCAACAGATAAGCAAATAGACAGACACCAAGTTGTGTAGCACAGGGAAGGATGGATATCAGGGTCAGCCCAAAGGCCACCAACAGGAGTCCCAGGGAGGGGACAGGTATCATGAGTGTTAGGATCCAGGCCAAGGTCAGAGGCTGCAGAATTCAGATAAAGTTTCTCGGTTATCCAAAGACTTTCCATCTCATTCAAGTGGGGCTAGTCCCTTGGGAAAGTTTTTCATAATCATGTTAAAATTGGTCTGGTTCTAGTAGTTTGCAAGAAGACACTTGCTTGGGATTCAGATCATTGTGGGTAGTAGAAGTGACATTCCCTTCTCACTCCCTTGCTCTTCCTCCCTGTGGGATTGTGGTCTAGGCCCTTGGTGCACACAGTCTACTGACTGGAACTCTCAGCTGGTTCTGTTTGCCAACATTGCTTCCTAGACTTAGAATGTTCTCTTCAACTCCTGGCACCTGGGGAAGATGCTTCATTCAAGCATATAGTCTCTTATTCTTCCCTATTAACTCAAAGTGTCGGTACTTTTCTGAAAGGGGTTTTGGCGGAAAATGAAGTATAAGGAAAAGCTGCATGATTTTGAAGCTCAGATGTGATTTGATTCAGCAAGTATGTGTTAAAGACTACACTTTGCCCTCTATGTTTTGGGGGTTATAGAGAAGTAAGAGATTGATAAGATAGAATGTATATAAAGCTTTTAAGTAATAAAGTATGTGTTGTTATTATGTGCAGTTGAGTCACTTGCGGCTCACAGTGATCTTATGTAAAACAGCCCTGAA